CAAACTACACCACGCAAGCGGCTTGTCAAACATACTTCAAACTTACTTTCCCAATTTCGCTATACACAAAGCAAAAAATTTCTATTTTCTTCAGTGTAAAAAAGTGTGGTTTTGTTCCATTATTCTTTACTCGGTGAAAATTCCGTTGGGAATGAGGCGATTTTACCAGACACAAACGCAATAGTTTCGATTTTTGCTCAAATTAACCTCAAGCGGCTTTCCAAACTTTCAAACACCCCCATACAAAGCACAAATAGCTTGGAGGAAATCAATATCCTTTAAAGGAGAACTAGCTTTGCGAATCCCTTTTTGGCTTTGTTACTCTAGATGAGTTAAATCGACCTGAGTTTGCCGTTTCTTTGTTAGAAAAATGTGTTGATCAGAGCATTTGAGGAGAATATTGACTTCTCTTAGGGAATACTTATTTACGCTTGACTATTAGATATGTTTTGCATATTCACGGGTTGACAAGCAATCGATTTTTTATTTTACGCACCAGATGAACCAGCAAAAATATCGCCTATTCATAAGACTTGCAATATACATACATACATACATATGTACGTACATATATATCTCTGACTTCAAGATATTTTTCCATACATTGAGCTAGGATTACATCTTGAAATTTTTAGAGTGTACCGAAGCGCGCCGGGTCAACTAGTAATATATATACGGTGACCATCCGTTCTGTTTTTTGCAGGACCGTACTGTTTTTCAAAGGTCGGTCCTGCGTAGTTTCTCAAACCTAAAAAACCTGAAAATGTACTGATTTTTTCCAAGTGTCCTGCATTTGTCCCGCATTATATTCGTTATTTTAAAATTATCGGACAATGGATGCATTTTTTCAAAAAAGTGTTTTTTGGTACTTTTCGTAGCTTTTCTTCATATCTCATGAGGGTATTGATATGCCTCTTACCAAAATATATATGTAACTTGTGGCGACTTCAATGAAAATTATTAGTGCTACAGGCGACCATTTGCATTTTGTCGTCAAAGTCGAAAAAAGTGAGATTTTCAATCAAATACGCAGATTCATTTGGTTATTTTTTTCATTATTTTAAAAATTCGATAAAGAATACATATCATTACAGTAAATTTTGAGTCAAAGATAATGAAAATCGGATTAGATATGTAGATGCTATGGAGCGCAATCTGCACAAATTATATATTTTTGTAAAGGG